GGTATGCCATTTACGTTACATTATAACATTATATGAATAATTTGTGTAATATATGTCAATTTCTAAAATTTCAAATTGTAACATATGTAGAAATTTTTTTTTGTTTTTTATATATATAGATGATACAATAATTTAAATTTTAAACAAAAAATTATCGATCAAACAAAAATTAGATGAGAGACCAAAGTGATGAAAGAGAAATAAWTAAAAAAAAAAATGTCAGTTTCACATGGTACATTATTGTTTACTCTGACAGAGACTGACACATTCTGACATAATTCTTGTGTCACCACATTAGATCAGAGGCGTAATAAGGTCGTTTATCAGCCCATTTCGTTAATAAATTCAAAAACATGTTACATTGATAAATACCCTATATTGGCATACCGTATCGTGCTATTTTCCTATTATTATTAGCTTAAATGTAATGGCTTTATTGTCAATTAATGTCCGCGTCATGTGTGGGGTTTTTATATACACTAGGTCTTGATTGAAATATTTAACCTGTATAACATAATCTTAGCATGTCATAATGTCTTTGTTTTGTAAACGTAGTAGGGATAAAAATACATGAACTAAAATTATGATTGAAATATTTAACCTATATAACATAACGTTAGCATGTCATAATGTCTTTGTTTTGTAAATGTAGTAGAGATAAAAAAAAATACATGAGTTAGTTAGATTTATCTCAAGCGTTTTTGTTTTCTGTCTAATAGGTTGGTTAATTTGAAATTAGATTATTTTTTATCTAAAACTTTTTTGTTTATTTTCGTTGGTTTTAGTAAAATGATATATCAATAACTTGTACATTAACCAACGCATAAATAATACATTTATTTGTATTTGGAGAACAAACATATAAGATAGAAACCAATCCATGAATTATGACTATCCTTTATATGTTCCATTTCCATAGAATCCTGAGTTGAAATGTCAAAGCCAATTTTAACTTGCATTACAAAACAAATAGTTTATCATTTTTCACTCTTGGTAATTAGAAACACAAACATAAACATGACAAAGCATCTTTATGAAGACGTAACGTAGATTCATAAGTGATAAAATAATATTTTGTTGTTCGCAATGTGTGAACTCCATCAAATCATTGGACTAAACAACTTATTAAGAAATTATATATTCGGAAACTCGCAGCTCAGGTGGTAGTCTATCACA